GCTTCCAATCTATTGTATTTGAAGCAGAAGTGGTACAGTGGCAGTTGTGCAGAGACCATATGGAAAGAAATGCAAATACATATCTTGTGTTCAACTACATTTGTCTTCTTTACGAAGAGTTTACAAAGTAAACATAAAAGTATACACAAGTCTAAATTGAAAACAACGTTCAAACCTATGATTGCGTTGGATAAAAACCGCAATTTTTATACGTGTGCATGCAAAACAAATTTCTTGGTAGAGGGGTCTAAATACAACACAAACAACATTTTCCAAAAGACCAAATGAGTGAAAAAGTATATTTTAACAAAACGCATTTGACTAGCAGGTCGAACAACTGATGTTCTTAAACCCTGCTGACTGCCATTGGCGATTGCCAAATAAACGGATCACAAGATGTAGCAAAACAGATCTTATTATTAAATTATTACCAAACAGAAAACAATAAACTTGCGGAAAAGATGGTATACCGCAAACATGAGGTGCAAAAAATTTGTACACCATATCCGGATTTCGACAATTAATTACTCTTCAGTGATGTTAGGAATCGAAACGGTATTTGGAAGGCCATATAATTTACCTCAATTTAGGATAGACTCTTGAATTTTGAAAGAGTCAAAATAGGATGAACGGATCATATTAACCCGAAGGCAAATATAATACAAGCCCAAACGAAAAAATATAAACAAGTCTAAATTGAAAACAACGTTCAAACCTATGATTGCGTTGGATAAAAACCGCAATTTTTAGACGTGTGCATGCAAAACAAATTCCTTGGTAGAGGGGTCTAAATACAGCACAAACAACATTTTCCAAAAGACCAAATGAGTGAAAAAGTATATTTTAACAAAACGCATTTGACTAGCAAGTCGAACAACTGATGTTCTTAAACCCTGCTGACTGCCATTGGCGATTGCCAAATGAACGGATCCCAAGATGTAGCAAAACAGATCTTATTATTAAATTATTACCAAAAAGAAAACAATAAACTTGCGGAAAGATAGTATACCGCAAACATGAGGTGCAAAATATTTGTACACCATATCCGGATTTCGACAATTAATGTCTCTTCAGTGATGTTAGGAATCGAAACGGTATTTGGAAGGCCATATAATTTACCTCAATTTAGGATAGACTCTTGAATTTTGAAAGATTAAAAATAGGATGAACGGATCATATAAACCCGAAGGCAAATATAATACAAGCCCAAACGAAAAAATATAAACAAGTCTAAATTGAAAACAACGTTCAAACCTATGATTGCGTTGGATAAAAACCGCAATTTTTATACGTGTGCATGCAAAACAAATTTCTTGGTAGAGGGGTCTAAATACAGCACAAACAACATTTTCCAAAAGACCAAATGAGTGAAAAAGTATATTTTAACAATACGCATTTGACTAGCAGGTCGAACAACTGATGTTCTTAAACCCTGCTGACTGCCATTGGCGATTGCCAAATAAACGGATCACAAGATGTAGCAAAACAGATCTTTTTATTAAATTATTACCAAACAGAAAACAATAAACTTGCGGAAAAGATGGAATACCGCAAACATGAGGTGCAAAAAATTTGTACACCATATCCGGATTTCGACAATTAATGTCTCTTCAGTGATGTTAGGAATCGAAACGGTATTTGGAAGGCCATATAATTTACCTCAATTTAGGATAGACTCTTGAATTTTGAAAGAGTCAAAATAGGATGAACGGATTATATAAACCCGAAGGCAAATATAATACAAGCCCAAACGAAAAAATATAAACAAGTCTAAATTGAAAACAACGTTCAAACCTATGATTGCGTTGGATAAAAACCGCAATTTTTATACGTGTGCATGCAAAACAAATTTCTTGGTAGAGGGGTCTAGATACAGCACAAACAACATTTTCCAAAAGACCAAATGAGTGAAAAAGTATATTTTAACAAAACGCATTTGACTAGCAGGTCAAACAACTGATGTTCTTAAACCCTGCTGACTGCCATTGGCGATTGCCAAATAAACGGATCACAAGATGTAGCAAAACAGATCTTATTATTAAATTATTACCAAACAGAAAACAATAAACTTGCGGAAAAGATGGAATACCGCAAACATGAGGTGCAAAATATTTGTACACCATATCCGGATTTCGACAATTAATGTCTCTTCGGTGATGTTAGGAATCGAAACGGTATTTGGAAGGCCATATAATTTACCTCAATTAAGGATAGACTCTTGAATTTTGAAAGAGTCAAAACGTATACATACATGTATAACAATATGGGGATGTAGTATGATTGCCAATGAGACAATGATGTACATGTATGACTATCATTGGACCGCCAATCTATAATATCTTTGTACATTTTGAAAACGGAAAATGCTACCTTTGTAGCATAATATAAAAAAAGAAAATGTTATATTAATCTATGCTACAACACCCCTACGAATATATAACTTGACAGTACGAAAAAATCAAAATATTTCGATTCACAAAGTCCTTCCTCTACATGTATATGGAAAGTAACATATTTAATTGACTTTACATGAAATGACAAAAGATGTTGAATAAGAAGCAACAAATGTTCACTGTACTGGTACACTAGTCTTTACGGGTTCATATTGGTCATCATGTTTGTTTGTTTTAGTCCTTTTACAATGGTGCTTGTTTGTACTTATCTGTTGTGTTGTTTCAGTTTTACTATCCTCATACAAACATGTGTATGCAAATATTTTCTGCAATACATTGATGCTATGAGTAAAAGGAGATGTGGTGTATGTGTCAATGAGACAACAACCCAACAACAAAAATATTCTTAACACATCTATGTATGTTTAAGAATTCTTGTGTAGTACAATAGCACATAATGTATATTTATATATCAGTGACTTGATACATGTATGTACATATTGATGCATTCCGTCCTAAATATTAGTTGTGTGAAGAGCCCAAGCAGTTTATTTGCTTATAAAAAAACTGATATTAAAATGAATTCCGTTATAACAAATTCAGGGAATGAGACACTATCCTATTAAAACAAACCACAAGAGATATTAGTGGTTAGAGTTTATTTTACATCTTTAGAATGACCAAAGAAGCTTAAAATTAGCAAACAGAGACAGAAGATGTCAAGGGGCAATACAAAAATGACAAGGTCGTGTAACACAGTGGAAAAATAATAACAAAAGAAAAGAAAATAACACCTCACATAGCACTACACCGACATTGACCTTGAGCAACACGAACCTACAAAAGATCAGATAGAACTTGTGAACAATTTCAAAACTGTCTAATTTCAGACTTGAGGTTCACTCCCCGGCAGCAGAGAGTAAAGATAAGAATGTTGCAGTACTCCGGTAGTCTATAAAACAAAAAATAAAAGTTTACAGTTCAGCAGAGAATTTTAATATACTCAAGATACAAATTGTTTTTAATCAGAGTCGGTGATATTAAGTAAAAAAAACAAAAAACAAAAACAAAGCGAAAAAAAAAAAATTACAGATTCAGATTCAGATTCATATTCAATATTTTATGGCATCAACAAGAGATTTCGACAACACTAATAATGTACGTTCATTCAGGAAATTCATGCAAAGGTTACATAAGTGATCCTTAATTCTAGGTCAATCAAAAAATAAAAGTTATTATTAAATTATAACAGATATAATTACATGGAATAATTTAGATAGAATAAAGATGCGAAGTTCTCACAAAAAGATGTTTAAGTATCATGCGGGTAGGAGTAGCAATCGGTCCACTACATGACTGTGTTGTCATATTCTGAAAAAAAGTAATCACTTTAAGTTGTTCCTGTCTTCCAGGGTGTCTTATTTTCAAACAGAAAGAATTGGGAGTCCTGCATTCAGAACATATTATTACGACTCTTGTATGCTGCATTGTTAGGGAAATTTGATCAATATCTTCGTTCTTTTTATAACGGGATCCTGTTCAAAAAGAAAAAAATGCTGTCAGATACTGAATGTAAATATATATAAACTACAAGTAACCTACATGTACCCTATATTTTTCTGCCAGGAGACAGAATACAATTATATATATTTTTTTTATTTGGCTTAAAATGGTGACATAAGATTTAAGGGAACAACTATTTAACTCTCAGAGAGGGCTGTTGGTTTTTTTAACTTTATATTGTTTTGATTTGCAACTTTGACAAAAAGAAAATTCTAATTGAGAGTTTTTTTCTAATGAAATATTGTATGCGACATGTTGTCAGGAGGATAGTTATTCCTGAGGAACATTATTTTCTGATGTTTCAATAGATGTAAGTAGAAGAAATATATGAAACTAAATAAATTTTTAGCAGACACATTAGATCAAGGCTCTGTTTATTTGTATGACCAAAATAACATGGCTGCCAGCTATGATTCTGCCTTTTTTTTATAGTTACATCAAAGTGGGTGAAATATTTAAAAATTCAACATGTATAGACAGAGCCTGTATGTCTTAGGAAAGTAATTCATGTAATAAGTACAACCATTCTCTGAAGATGAGCAAGTATTAAAACCAGACACTAGTACCTGAGTACAGGGATCTGTTTATTCCAAATTTTCGTAACGTCCATGTTGACCCAGCTTTCCCCTTTTTAATGACTGGAATAAAACGTTAATCGTCACAATATTTTCACTTAAGAACTGCTACAAACTGAATAAGAGAAAGTAAATGATATGAGAAATTGAAATATATACTTGCATTATGCTGTTTTGAAATGCTTGAGGTAAAATAACAATCGTAAGTCAGTTGCGATCTTCTCTGTTAGTGTTACAAAATGGCGATAATCTCTTCTCGATAAAGGCACGCGGGGCCGCCCGATTTAACTTGGTTTTCTCTGACCACTGTTGAAGTTGCCAATTTTTGTGTATATATGTCTGTGGCTCTATTTTATGTTATCTGCTTAGTGTTCTGTGTACTTATGCTTGTCTTTTATATAATTTGTTTTGTGTGGTATTGTTAGTTTATCTTCTATTAACAATTTGGATGCCTATTTGATATTTCCTTTCTGTTTTTATTTTTAGAAAAGATAAGTCAACTTTTTACAATTTTATTGTATCAAGTATCAACAATATTCTTCCCATGAAGTTCTACGATGGCAGCATACATACTCTCTATGAACATGTCTGAAAAACATAACACGATAAAGTAAAAGAAACACGTGAATAAATATAGAGTTTGAATGCCCATTATGTATCTTCCGCTTTTCATTTTCCGTACATTTCGAATCTTTTCTTCTTTTAATAAATCTAACCATATTATGAACGTTTGTGACGTGAAATCAGCAATTTACATGATATGGAAAAGGAACTTAGAGTATAATTTTAAATTAAGACTCTTTTTTATCAGTTTTAAAAAGAAATTGGTATCCTTAAGCAAAATAGGACTTAGCTTATTCCTGAAAATAGTAAGTAATCAAATATAAGTGACGACATTAGACAATGACGACATTAGGCAATGACGACATGTTTGCACAAAGCAGTTGATATACCACTAAACTTGACATTGACAGTATTACTTGCAGTCGGATTACAAAAACAAAGTTATTACAATTGAAGTTAAATATTTTTCCAAATATAAAACAATTTCTTTTATTTTCGAAATGCGTTTTTTATTGCATAAAATGCCAGGCGATGGTTACCGGTCTTTGATCAGTCCTGGATTCTTTTTGATGTATGAGCTTTAATTATATAGTAATATTTTTTTTTAAGAAATAGAATATTTCTTTATAATAGCTAAATGAATAATAAGACTTACTGGTGGAATTTCGCAAACGTAAATGTATCTGTTTCCACAATTTAAGTCCTCCCATCGATATTGCGGATTAGCCGTGTTCGGAAATTGTATTGTCACACAGTCATCAGTATTTGCAGTTGTTGACTGGACGGCTAAATAATTAACAGAAGATTTATTTCGCATTTCGTCTTAAATAACACAAGAGTTACAAAAACAATATAGTAGACATTCTTGTAAAACCCTCCTACCAGAACAATAAACCACCTTCAAAGTATAGTTTCCCCACTTTTATGGAAGATATTTCTGCTGTTAATTATATATTCTAATTAATAACTTGTTCCTTAACTTTATCTCAGACGCACTGTGTATTCAATTGTTTTTTTCCACAATGGATGGAAGTATTTGTCTTTGGTAAATCTATTTAAATCTAACAGGCCATATCAAGGCCTGCTAATTTTGACCCTGATGATGAAATCATTCCAGTAGTCCTTTGCTTTGCTGTGTTCAGATGTAGTATCTTTGATACGGCATATTTCTCTAAATTTACTGATGATTAATTTTTTACAATTGTGTTGAAGGCAGTTCCTTGTTAGTCTCTTTTAATCTAAACCTTTTGTATAGACACCTATACATTGTTGGATACCATAACTTGACTTATAGATTACTTTTGTGTTTGTTGTGTTGTTTGATTGCTGTCTCATTGTATATATCCCACATATCTTTTTTTATTTCTTATTTTCCCGAACTTTCGAGTTTGGTCCTTTTTAAATTGTATTGTGTCAGAATAACAGTAAAAGTCAATTACACCAAAAAATTGTTGAAATACCAAATAACTTATCTGTATTGTGTATATATTTTTGCTTAATTATCTAAAAATGTTAAATTTACCTGTTCCAAATGGGGGAGCATTCAATGAAAATCCACTATTTTCAACGATAAATGAAAACACGCCTTCCGTTGCAATATCATTTGCACCGGTCCACACATTTGAATTGCCTGCAAGAAAAATTGAATTTAAATGATAGAAAATCAGTAAATTAAACTAAAAAGTATAAACAAAAATATCAATATCCAAGGTAAATGAAAAAAGGGAAGTCCATCAAACCTGACAAAATCAAATGCTCGACTATACCAACCAACGAAACAAATGGAAACAACTGTCATATTCTAGACTTTGTACAGGCATTCCCCCTAAATCAAGGTCAATAAATCCTGTCGAAGTCTCAAGGAACGAAACATGGACTTTGTACAGGCATTCCCCGTAAATCAAGGTAAATAAATCCTGTCGAAGTCTCAGGGAACGAAACATGGACTTTGTACAGGCATTCCCCCTAAATCAAGGTAAATAAATCATGTCGAAGTCTCAAGGAACGAAACATGGACTTTGTACAGGCATTCCCCCCAAATCAAGGTCAATAAATCCTGTCGAAGTCTCAAGGAACGAAACATGGACTTTGTACAGGCATTCCCCCCAAATGAAGGTCAATAAATCCTGTCGAAGTCTCAAGGAACGAAACATGGACTTTGTACAGGCATTCCCCCCAAATCAAGGTAAATAAATCATGTCGAAGTCTCAAGGAACGAAACATGGACTTTGTACAGGCATTCCCCCCAAATCAAGGTAAATAAATCATGTTGAGGTCTCAAGGAACGAAACATGGACTTTGTACAGGCATTCCCCCTAAATCAAGGTAAATAAATCATGTCGAAGTCTCAAGGAATGAAACATGGACTTTGTACAGGCATTCCCCCTAAATCAAGGTAAATAAATCATGTCGAAGTCTCAAGGAACGAAACATGGAGTTGGAACTGCTCTTTAGCCTTATGTAGCGTAACCGTATGAGTGGACGGAGTAAAACTATGTTTGCAAGTATATAATTTGGTTAGGTAATATGGAAAATATTGACCTATACATTGACAGAGTGTGATTTTGCTTGTGTTTGTTGCGGACGTAGATGTTTGATGGGATCCTTCACTGGGGTTCTGAAAACAATCCAAGAGAAACTTGAAACATAGATGTTTGTTAATTGGAAACAAATCAGTAAGTCATTTATGCAAGTACAATACAAAGGCTGTAAATTAAAATCATGGATTAATAAAAACTATCAATGACAATCTTGAAAATACACATTTGTAAGTCAAAAGTACATGGAAATAGCAGCATCGTTAATTGGTGAAACTCAATCAATCAACATTATGACGTAGTAACTACTACTGAATAAAGCGACAAATTGAAATTCATAAACAAAAGTGTATACTTATGCGTACCAAATAATATATAAGTTTTCTATTTAACTGGATGGTATTCAAAAATACGAAACAGATCTACTTTAATTTTCGGCATGTCAAATCCATTTTCTTTGACATGCATTATTTGTATTGCCATTAATTCTTCAATAAAGATATCTTAATAGTATTATTGTCCATAATTGCGATTGATTTAAAAGAAAAACATATAAAAAGGATTCTTTTCATATTTAAACTTATTCATATTCCTCAATATAAAGGTATAATAAAAACAAAAACTATCTACAACAAACAAACAAAAGACACACCTTCCAAAATTGATTATATTAAAATGAAGGGTAGATAATATAGATCCTGAATTTAAGTACATATACAACAAATAAGGGAGGGACTAGGTCCTTTATTAAGTTTCGGATAAGCGTAGACCTTCATTCTATAATTTGTAAAGTCGTTAAAATGCTATCTATAGATAGGCTTAGAAATCATAATTTTTATACAAATGAACATATATTCCTAATAAAAGGAGGATTACTAATGACCTATATACAAAAATATATAACGCATATTATTTACAACTATGGTTAACCCTTTTTTCTTTGTCTAAAGACTTCTTTCTAATCTTCTGCAATAACATAAATTAATCAGAACTTTGAATTACTTATGGATTTCTGTAAGTTTTATTTATACAAAACTTTATGAGCATCATATTATTTTCCTTTTCCTAGATACCCTGATCTTTATTTAAAACGTTATCAATTTCTTTGAAGTAGATAAAAAAGAATTTCACAATAAAAGAAAATAAAATGCAATTTCACTCACCTGAAAACAATCCCAGAGAAAGTTAAAATATGGATGTTTTTTAATTGGAAACAAGTCAGTAAGTGATTCAAAGGAATAGAATTTCAGTTTCCTCTAGGATTATTTTCTGTTTAACCAATCAGATTGCTAGACCCTTCGAAAAAAAGGGGAGACTTGTCATTTCTAAAATAAGGGCGGTCCTAAAATAGGGTGCTCTGGTCAAAAGTGCTAACTGAAATTACCTACATTTCAGGTCGATAACAATAGCAGCTTAATTAAATATCTGTCTACAAGTTTGTATCTGCCAAAGCTAAATAGAGTAGAATCAAATGTGTTGATCTCATGACAAAGACTTACTGATAAAATTCTAGAAAAAGTAACAAAATAAGTCGGTAGGAAATCTAAAATCAAGATTTAAAGTAAATACAATAAGAACTTAGTTCCGTCCTAAAACGCTTCAAAATGTTTATTTAAAACCTCTTATATAAGCGATAAAGAAATCTTTATCTTGAGCCGTAAATTGGAAAGTTTTATGTAAATGAAGAAATAAATAACAATTCATTTTAATCATGAATTGTTGAAACTATCTTTTATCTAATTAACGAATTTATGTTAGTATTTGAGTGTAGTGACTGAGAATTAAATTTGAATGAAAAAAACACCATCTCACTTATCGTAAATCTCCTTCTTTTCAGAATCGTAATTAGAAGATGTTAACAATACAAGACACGCGAATGAAAGAAAGGTTTCAATATACACTGTATATTCGGTGTAAAATACAACGTACCGAATTTGGAGCGTTTGATGCAGATTTCTAGTTTTCATGTATTACTTCTATCGTCTTGGGGTGAGATTTTGGTGTTTCAAATTAGTAAGGGTCTCCTGCTGTGCATGCATCACCAGCCACGCGAATCCAAACATCCAGTAAAAATGTTGAAATCAGAAGTAGGACACAATAGATTAAAAGATATTAGAGGACGTTCCTGGTATCTATAAATCTAAGACTGCGAAAACATGTCGCCATTAGTTGAGACATATCGTATCAGTCAACCAACTCGTGATGGTGAACGTAAAACTTATGTAATGTTGATTTCAGTTGGTCTTCCTCATAACACAATAGATAAAGGTTGACGCAGAGGGCGCTTCGGATGCACCAAAATCATCGGTTGTTTCTGTTTTACCTAACACTTGGCCGATATCACTGCGGGTTGACATCTAGCGATGTTATCAGCTCGAGAGTTCCGCACAGAAAAGATTAATAACATACCTTTCTTATATTTGCTCCATTTATATTTTGAAATTATTATGAGACTCATCCGATTAATACAAACTCAATCGGGCAAAGTTGATCCTACGTAAAATTGGTTTTTCGGTATAGGTTCTTTTTTATCCTTATGCTTCTACAGTAATCAATACCACGTATAAATACATCCCTGAACTTTCATCATTCTAAAGAAGAAAAACGCTTTGGACGCACCAAATACTTCTATAAAATGAGTGCAGAAGGGTTGAGACATGGAACAGAATATTGAGACTGATTCCGGACGAGGTCTATCAAAAAATGGTCTGCGGTAAGATTTAGTCTCTGCAGAGTAAACTATTTACTTATTTCATGTAAGAAACATTAGATATGTGGTTTTATGGACAAAGTTTTCATTTCTAAAATCTCAATTCGTGTATTTAGTCCAAAACATTGTATAAACAATAGACTTGTTTAATTTTGTTAAGCATAAAGCTTCCATGATGTTATTGTAACAAAGCAAATGCAGGCCCAATATTGGCAGGAATTGTTCGAATTTACAGCTTAATACAGGAATCAGTTTTATCTTTTCATGTATTTCCAGCCTAGATATTGTTTAATGGAGTTCCATTGCGTAAATTCAACAATTGAGTTTAGAAATCATTTCAATATTATTTTATAAGTATCTTACATACTTGTATTTTGGAACTACAAACAATTGTCATACAAGTGGGAGGTTTAACTAGCTATAAATCCAGGATTGATTCACCATTTCTTCGGAAATTGCCTGTACCAAGTCATGAATATGACCGTTGTTTTCCATTGGTTAAATTGGTTAATAAAGTCTAACGTTTGCTTTGTCATTTTTTATGGACTTCCTTTTTTTTTTTTAATTTACCCTGGAGCTCGGTATTGTTTGTAAATACTTTCTTATGATGATAAATAAAGGAAAAAGATCACATAACTTCCTCTTGCTGCTACATTACCTTTGAACCTTGTTCAGTTTTCGAATTTCGAATTTCTTTGGTAAGAGATGGCTGCTAATGACAAAGTAAAAAAAAAGTAAAAAGGGTGCATTGATAAAAATAATCGGTCTGTATTTCCTTTTAAATAACTTCAATAAAAAAAGAATTAATAATACACTCTCAACTTACCTATACTTAATTTACTTCTAACCGCATCGGCTTCAGCTGCACTGTTTGGTATCCATAGGTAGGCACCTGGTGTCTGGAGACAATTTGCCTGAAATTTAGTAGGATGACATAAATACCATTTCTACTGAGTAAGTACTTGTCGTTGTCAACGTGTATGCTTAGCCATACTTTTTCGAATTCCAGCACATAATATAAATATTTTTTTTAATTTATTTTGTATAGATTCCTGTTTAATCGACATATATCAACATATCAGACTACCATTCGGTGCATTTACAATGTCAAAGACTTTTCAGTTATTTGGTACTATTGAAGGTTTTGAGAGAAAAGATATTCCATGAATTATGAATGTTATTGATGAATCAGATCAAATCATGTCTAATTGTTTTTTCGAATATACAAATTAAAAACCTTTATATTTCCCAATGTTGACAGCCCTTGAAACAATAGTACTACATAAATCTAATATAGAAAAAAAGACAAACGACATTATCATGAAAACCGCACATAAAATGTGAATTAAGAAACAACTTATATGATAGGGATTGAAATGTGTCATTCTTCGAATTCAAAATCGGGTATATAAACTCATCATAGATACCAGGATTACAATGTTGTGCGCGCATTACGTCTACAAAAGACTCATCAGTGACGCTCAGATAAGAAAAAAGATCAAAAAATAAAATTCGAAGTTGAAGAGCATTGAGGACCACACATTCCGAAGGGTTTTGTCAAATACAGCTCAGGTTATATAATCCTGGAGTAGAAAATCCTTAGTATTTCGAAAAATGCAAAGTTTTGTAATACAGTCTTCAATCAAACTTCTAAATTACTGGTAACGTATAACAATACTTAAGTAAGATTTTAGGAATTCCGTAATTTAAGCTGACAAATACCTAAAACATGTCTTTATTGTTATGTTATATTCTTCTCACATATCAATTCAATGTATAGCACGGTTTTTGATTCCTGTTTGTTTTTGAGGTTACCTGATCGTCCTTGCAAATAGTGATTAATTAGCATACTCACCAGAGCTTCCAGCCAAATTACCGAACTACCACTACCAAGGTAACAATTAGGACTAATCGTTGTGTCGGCTAACCGCATGTACATTGCAGGGCATTGCAAAACACATGTTGCTATTTATATAAAAAACGCATTTGTTTAAAACTTTAAACAATTGCAATTAAAATGATGACAGAAAACACTATTACGGAATGAATGAACATCGTCAAATTTTGCAGAACGTTATTAAGACAAAAAAAAAGTAGCCAAAATGAATGCAAATTTTATATAGAAATATAGAAGATATATTCATTGCTTCCGACGCACCAAAAAAGTTATTTTCACGCAATATGATGTAGCATGGATATGTTTAGTTTACAAATCAGTTGATATTTAAACATAAAAAAACGAAACGATCACAAAGGAAGAAAAAGTAAGATAACAAGAAAACTGAAACGAAAAAAGATGAAAAGAAAACGAAAAACGAAGAGAAGAAAAGAGAACAACAGAGAGGCAAGAAAGAAAAAGAAAGGAATATACATACATTGCAAGAATATATAAAATTTATTTGTAAAAGAATTGCAAGTACGATGTACGATTATTACAAACATTTACTCTTGTTTCGTAACAATTAGAATCGACTGAATGCAGAAGACCTTAGTTTTAATGTTCTGTTTAAATTTTTCAGTTTGACTCAACAGATTTGTGTTGGTTTTGCGTTGAAACAATCGTGTTAATAATTATTATGCAGAACATTTTTGAGAGTACATTATATCCAAGCATATGTGTTTCTTTATTGTGAATTACAGTTGTTAGTCCCGTGTGTATCACCAAACCAGTAGCCAGTACAGTTCGGTACTAGCTTAAAAATATGGATATTATTTGTAAGAAGCGCAAATGCTCATGTACAGTACTTCGGTACTTACATGAAAATAAGGATGATGTTTTATAAAACTATCGGTTATAAAACGTGTCCAACGGATTTATCTACCTCATGCAAAACTCTCATTGTCCTGTTGTGACTAATGACATTGTTTATCGAAATCAGCATTTGTGCAGTAAAATTAAAACTTCTTAATGTTAAAGCTTTATTGCATTGTATGAAGCTGGGCTCAACAATACAATTTCTTTCGATAACAATCATTGGTAGGTCATGATTAAATCAATGAAAATAATAAATTATTTTGCTGAAATGCTTCTAAAGTTTGTATTCCTGAATCAACATAAAATCCCTTCAAGTATTATTGCATTTGATGACCAGAAAATTGTTCATCAAATAATATTAACTCTGTATAATGTCTAAAGTGCTTTAAAAAAAACGGAAAAAAGAAAAGAACAAAAATAATGTTGATAATAAAATTGCCAATCATCATTGGAAATAAATAGGCTCCATATGATTCAGTAAACAATATTATCAACCCTTTACACCACAATATTCACAATTTCATTCAATCGTGCGTCGTCTATTGATCTTTTTTCAGTGGTTCATGGAATGGATGGAATTTTAAATATAAATGAAGCCATTAGCTTTTAGAAGATGTTATAAAATCTATATTCTATTTTTTATCAATTATTTATTTTAATTATCCCCTTTTCTTCTAAAACTCGCTGTCTTGTGCAAGCTCGTAAGAGTGTAGGACGTCGCAGTTCTATTCCCACTTTTAAACTAGCTTTTTTTAGAGGTACCCGCTTTTATGACATTCACAATCTCCGAATAGGAAGTTAATATTACAGTTTAAATAATAATTTTGTATTTTATGCACATATATATTTTTTAAACCTATTTAGCTAATTTTTTTTATCTTTCGAAAGTTAATCTGGAGGGCCTATAATATTTCTTTTTAATTTTTGTAATTTCATCTTAAGAAAAATTAAACGTATATTCAAATATTGGTTGAATTTCTAAGCAGCAATTGTTTTGAGGATCATCTCTTTAACAATAAAAACGAATGATCAGTCCTTGGGGATTTCAAACAATCAAATTGTTGACACGTCAAGTTTTGCCTCCATGAAAAATGCCACAACATTGGTAATGCATGTATAACATCATGTATTTGTACATATTGATGTAAGAACTATTACTGAATTTATAATTGACAGTATAATTACAAGATCGTTGAGAGAATTGTAGTGGGAAGAGGTTACCACCAGATTCAATTAAACAGTATTATCACTTGATAATGAGTCAGGTGTTGAAAAATTTACTAAATCTAACATATTTTGTTAGACGCTATACTTATATAGTGTGGTCAAAGATGTATGTAGAAAGTAAAATAACAAAAATAACTCCAAGGAAAATTCAAAACGGAAAGTCCCTTATTAAATGGCAAACTCAAAAGCTCAAACACATCAAACGAATGGAAAACAACTGTCATATTCCTGACTTGGTACAGGCATTTGCTTATGTAGAAAATGGTGGATTAAACCAGGTTATATAGCTAGCGTAACCTCTCACTTGTATGACAGTCGCATAAATTCCATTATATTGACAACGATGTGTGAACAAAACAAACAGACATAATAGGTTAAAATGTCAATAATAGGGGTACAGCAGACAACATTTTGTTATAATCTCAATCACTATATACAAAACATAATTATATCATTATACTCTGCTTGACTAACGGAACGGTTACATAATAGTGTTAATAATGTTGACAGAGAAAAACCTTCACTATGTATCAAAAGTGGACTGTGTACTTCAATTTTGTATATATGTAAGAGTCAAATGTATTTCCGGTCTCAATTCCTTATCCCTTATTATTTTTCCTTGTCCAACCCCTTTATGTACATAGTTCAACACATATTAACTTTTAGTTTGGCTTATGTCTATTTAATTCGAATATGAAGTTGTATTGATGTCTTTGACAAGAAAAATATTTCCTAGACGACGTTTTAAGAATTATTACGTCAACACACAGGTCAGTGCATACCTTTTTGAAAAGTCAAATATTTCAGGAAAGAAAGGACAAAGATTTGTGACGTCTATGACGCAATATAGAATAGGACACAGGTCTGAGAAAAGGACACAGATTTGAGGTTGGACATACATTTGAGGCTTACATATAATGTATTTATATAAAATAAGCAGATGTGGTACGATTGCCAATGAGACATCTATTCACAATAAACGATGTACATAGCTGTATGTCATTTCACGGCCTTCAGCGATGTAAACTTATTTTAGAGGCTATCTATTCATTTTATATTGCTCAAGGAGTTTTTCTGGCTAAACAACAATGAACAGGTAAAATTAAGTGTGGTTAACTATATACTTACTAGTGGATGCGAGTGTCGTTGTTACGGATGGACCCGGTGCAGCTGGTGCTGGCGCAGCCGGTGCTGGCACCGCCGGTGCTGGCGCTGCTGTTGCAGCAGGTGCCGTTGCCGCAAGTATTAACGGTGCAAGTAGTAAAAAAGGGAAAAGAGCTGCAAGAGCTGATAAATCAGGCCCTGTATTACCTACTATACCAGTCTCTGCACCAGCTCCTAGAGTACCTTAGGAAAATAAAACATAATCATGATTTTATGTTATGTAATGTGTGCTGAGGACATTTAGATGGTATTGAAAATAAACAAAATCAAATCATGATCAGTTTATTCAGATAGATGCGGTTCTGTTTAGTAAAACTTGTTTGTTTTAATAAAAATAAGTATGTGTTAGATAACGTGATATCACAAGTGTATGTGAGACGGTTGCAAAACTATTAACTTGACATTTCTCACTTTCATCCGTTCGAAAATTTTACGGACACCATCACGAGTTGGTTGAGTTGCTAGATTGTTGTGGAATATCTGTTTCAAAAGTGACGATGGATATCTTCCGATTGTCGTAACTACAATCCTGTCCTTTTTTTTCCAAAAGTGTGACCTACCGAATTAGACTGATCACAGAGTGTGTACTACCATGAGCAGCACGACGGAAGTCATATGTGGAGCAGGATCTACTTACGCTTCCGGAGCACCTGATATCAACCCCGATTTTTGGTGGGGTCCGTGTTGCTCAGTCTTTAGTTGTCTATGTTGTGTTTTGTATACTGTTGTTAGTCTTTATATCTTTTTCGTTTTTTGCCATGGCGTTGTTAGTTTATTTTCATTTGAATTTTAATTTCCTGATAATAAGCAGGAGTCATTTGGATATTTAATGTCAGGAAGTAAATGTAAACATAAGATCAAACTTTGAAATGATAACTCGTCAGACATTAAAAGGAGGATAAAGTGCTTTAAATCGAAATTTATATATTCTACAAATATAACTCCTTTTACTCTATTTTGCAAGATCATTCTTAAGAAATATGGAGTATAAATTCGTGAACTGCAGAAGAGAAAACACATTTATATATACAAAATATTCATACTTACAAAATTTTTACATTTACATAATTGTATATTTCATATCTAGCAATTGAATTCATACACGAAATAAATGGGTTATGTTACGATGAAAAATAGTTTCAACTTCAAAGGCACTTTTCGTTTCTATGTGCATGAAACATGAAAGTGAGTCAAGGCGTACATAATCTATATGTTTGAAGTTGATCGTTTGTAATGAGGTTAGGTGTGTGACATTGTGTCATATTAATAGACTACAGGTTTTATATATGGCATAACCATCTGGTGGCAATGATTAAGATAACAATTTTTAATTGTGTCCAGATAGATGCATTTATTGCAAATATATTTTGTTTTGGTTTTACAAAGAAATTATTACATGTGAGCAGTAGCTAACAATGTCATTTAACACCAACAAAATAAACTGAATGAAACAAACAAGGCAGATTTCTCTTAAACATTACTGGCAAACCTTCACAAATCAACTAAATGTTATACCAATTTCAGGATCAGGAATCGATTCAATTAAAGTCTTTAATGCTTCTAAGATCACTGGCAATGGTGTAAGATAAATGCGTAAAGACTTATTCTAACCACAAAACGCCAATTTTAAACATTTTCTTATTGCCTTAAAAGGCAAATTCCGAAGAATCCGATGCGACATGTGCGATATGCTTTTCATGAAATCAAATATAAGACAATACCTATAATATTCCAATTGTAAAACTAAACAATAACAATCATTATGGAACAAGACAATTTTTTGATAAAAATATGAAGATGTAGACAATATATCCGTTCCACATTTGCTTTATACATTTCACTAGAAGCGTTAACAACGTCATGATCCTATTCAACGATATCTTAAACTTGTCTACTAATAAGGAGACTTCAAACGCATCTACTGTATGAAATTCGAAAACACGGCATAGTCAGTGTGAAATCGTGTATCTATAATCATATTTTTTTATCAGTTCATATGTTTTGATTGAAAATATAAATTATAGGGAATGTGCGTTATAAGTAAAGAAGAGACGAAAGATACCAAAGGGACATTCAAACTCATAAGTCGAAAATAAACTAACAACGCCAAATCAAAAAAGAAAAGACCAAAAGCCAAACAACATTACACCCAATCCAACACAGAAAACCAAAGACTGAGCAACACGAACCCCACCAAAAGTCGGTGATGATCTCAGGTGCTCTGAGACAGTAACCACACACCACGATATATAGATAACACACAGTTTGTTGTCAAAAAAATAACATTTTGTCAGAAAACAAAATATGCTCAAATTCAGCATGAGCTTAAACTAGATAAACAATAAAAATGATATTATTCAAGCTTTGTCGTTGACACCTAATTACCCGAATGACAATTCATAAGATATGAGGAAAGACTACCGCTATTTAGGTTCCCGACAGAGAAAACACAAAATCATATGGCGGCATTCAATTGATTTTCTTTTATCTCTTTCTTCTCTTGTGAATCCCAGTTAGTTGATTTTTTCAAGGTAATTACAGAACATACAAAAAATGGTAAGAGCTTATCAATTTTATTCAATAAAAATGATACAACAAGCCCCAAACCACCCCTGTAAAAAACAAATAATAAAAACTACAAAAAAATAAACTACAAAAAAAGCAGAGACATTTGGCAAATTGCTCGAAATGATTAAAGCTGGCTAAACATACTGATATTTAACCATGCCGTCCTTCACTCTAATATCGATGTACATAGCTCAGTGTAGATTTCATGAAAAAAACAACAATAATATATAGTTATAATCTTAGCATTTATCATTAAATCATGTATGCAAAAAAAAGGAAAGAGTAAAAGGATATTTTCTATTCTTATAACCTTTATAAGTATTAACTTAACCAGTTTAAAACATGGGTGTGTATAATGTTATGGAAGTTAGACCCACACGTAATTGTCAAAGAAGTATTAAGAAAAATACCAAACTCAAAGTTATATTCAAAAAGTGGGAAGTCCAGACAACGTGGTAGAATCAAACGCTCGACTAAATCAACCAACGGAACGAAAGAAAAACAACTGTCATATTACTAACTTGGTACAAGCTTTTTCCGAAGAAAAAATGGAATTAAGGTTTCACCTGGTTTGATAGCTAGCTAAACCTCTCACGTACAGTACAGTTGTTTATAGTTCCGTCACATTGACAAAATTGGGTGAACAAACCAAACAGACATAATTGGTAAACTTGACAATAATTGGGATCTAGCAGGTAAAACTGTGTAAACAAACACCGAATTACAACTCCATGCATTAATTACTTCACGATGTCAAAAAGGTAACCGTATAGCTTCCGACAAAAACATATCGGAGTTATCACTGCACGATACACATGTTTATTAATCACTATGTATTTCAAACACAAACTATTAAAATATATATATTTGAACATAAAACTATCGTTCGTCAGCACGTGACAAGATTGGTACATGTATAACAAAAAGGTTTTAATACAAGCAGCATCTGGCATTTATCGGAATATATCTTATGGTAAATAGTTTTTGTGTGGAATCTTTAATAGGGTAAATTTTGGAACAACAGCTGAAGTAAGGTTGGTATTAATTTCCGGTGAAAACACGGAAAATGAAGGAAACGGAAAAGCTGTATAAAACGATTAATCGCTGTTTTTTTTTTAGAACTGTATTTGATCTAAAAAGGATATTTTGGATTAGATTCTTATCATTATGTAGATTGTAATACGATTAATGCTTATACAGAAAAAATAACCGCTTACAACTGATATAACAAAAACATTATACTCTTCTAGTCACGAAGAATGTATTATCATATATATATTTATTTATTTCAATTTTTCTTACACAGGTGGAGAGAAGATGTTTAGAAACTTATAATTATTGTAATTTCAAAAGGTTTTAAAATATCAAAACATAAAATAGTCTCCATTTGTATTTTCCCTGGCAAATGGGAATTGATGTCCTAGCAGGAGACCTTTAGCATACGTCCCTGTGATGCTTAAATAAAGGCAACAGTAGTATACCGCTGTTCGAAATTCATAAATCGATTGAGAAAAAAACAAATCCGGGTTACAAACTAAAACTGAGGGAAACACATCAAATATAAGAGGAGAACTACGACACAACAGAAACACAACATTAAAATGTAACACACACAGAAACGAACTATAATATAACAATGGCCATTTTCCTGACTTGGTACAGGACATTTTAAGAAAAAAATGGTGGGTTGAACCTTGTTTTGTAGCTAGCCAAACCTCCCGCTTTTATGGCAATATTAAATATAACATTAAAATGACAACATTACATGACAGGACTACAATACAAATAAATGGGAGAACATATAGGACAGAGAAACATACCAATAATAGCTAACAAAAGGTACCAGGTTTAAAATTTAAAACGCAAGACGCGCGTTTCGTCCATATAAAGTTATTATACATCAGGTGTTATATAAGGAAATGTGTTAACATTTAAAAAACAAGAATTCTGTGAGTATTGCATGGCAATACATAGTCCCCTACCGGTTAAAAATTCATTGTATTGGAACAAAATGCTAACTTGATCTATAACTTGTCATGGTGTGAACTATTTAACAAATATCAAGTTAATATCTTCAAGCAGGACGAAAAAAAATGTGGAAAATTGATTATTTGGGTGAATTTTCTAAGTCCAAGGACCATAACTCTGCACAAAATCATTAGACCGGAACAAAATTCGAAATTGATCTGTGACTTGTCATGATAAAACTATATGACAATCATCAAATCAATATCTTCAAGCATGACACAAAAAAAAGCGGAAAACTGATTATTTGAGTGAATTTTCTAAGTTCAAGGACCATAACTCTGCACAAAATCGTCATATCGAAACAAAATTCGAACTTGATCTGTAACTTATCATGATTAAACAATGCACTAAATATAATATCAATATCTTTAGGCAAGAAGAAAAAAGAAGTGTGGAAAACGAATTTGCCGGACTGACGGATGCACAGATAGACAGACAGACAGACGGAGTGCAAACCGAACGTCCCCTTCGACTTCGTCGGTAGGGGACTAAAAAGAATATATTTTATGCGTGAAAGGCATGGAAGTTGCCTTATTTTTTTCAGCAAATTGAGTAAACAGTCTTTGATCGGACTTTTATAATCTTCAATAAAGACGTGGATAAAACATCATACTATCGCAATGTAGTGGATAATAATATTTATCAATATTCATATGAATGTGTAATATTCAATGTTCATAATCATGTATTAATTCAACATTTAATTACCTCCATCTCCAAGGCCTTCAATAACAAAAAATTGTTCCGGCGTGTCTGTTCCCGGTATGAACTGTGATAAACATGGACTTTGAGATAGGAATACGACAATCAAAACTATCAGACATAGCTGTAAAAAATATATGTGAATATAATGATTAGAAGTCAAATGCATTGTTGAGTCAGACATATTTTGTTCCTATTTATTTTTATGATTAGCGAGACTCGATCGTGTCAATTCAACACTTTATTAGCGAGACTCGATCGTGTCAATTCAACACTTTATTACCACATCATTTAACAGTCAAACTTTGATTAGTCGTCGAATTAAAAATCTGATATCATTCATTGCAAATGCATCATACACTTCATTTATCAACCAACCGCCTTCATTAGATTTTTATTTCCGATCACTGCCTTCTAGCATTATTTATCAGCTGGTAATTATTGTAAAGCCCTTATATTGAAATTATTGAATAAACATACAATAGAAATATGTTTTTTTGTTTTTGTTTTTAAGTATAACTTTAAAACCATTTCAGTTAACTTTGGATCCATTGTTATTCTAATTAATTCATTCAGGCCTATGTTTGTTCTTGAACATTGGTATATCCACATAAACACGCGTTACAGGCAACAAGAATAATCAACGAATATTATAACTAATTTAAAATAAATATAAAGAACACATTGATAAAATAGGCAATATTCTTTTAACTAAGGGCATTAGTCACACATCTATATTTATAACGTATCAAGTAAAATGGGAGAGGTATGTTCAAAACCATATAACATTGAGTATTTGAAACGTTTTCAACATATGTTCAGACCGTATAGTGTGAGTGTGATTAGGTAAGTTGTTGTTTATGGACAGTAGATGCAGGTGCTTCAGGATATTTGCTATATTCAAATGAAACAGTCACAATTGGAAAGCTGAAATTTCCTTTTTTGCCTAAGAATTAAGTAAGTTAACCGAACCGTTTTGTCGATTTATGTATATAGATATCAGTCAAGATATAAAGCAGATTCACAATATTCATGGTACATGTATCTTTTATTTCAGTAATTCGATTATATAGATATGTTTAATAAAATCAACAACATTTGAAGAATTAAGTTAAAGGAGATTATCTTTATAGCGGAACCTTATTTAAAAGTATAATGCTTATTGTCCATCTTTCTGTAGATACTTTATAATATGCTTTTAGTAAAACACAACGCTGATTTGCTTGAAATACTTTATTTCAGATACAAATATTCTACATTAATGCTAATCATACATAATATGTATGACATTTTTATTGAATTTAAAAAAAAATCCGTTTTGTAGATGGGAACTAAACAAATTCGGGATCTCTACGTTTTAGCCAACAATTGTGTGGGTGAAGAGTGAAAGGAAACCGACGCTTGTTGACAATGGTCGGAAACTGTCATAATGACATTCTGTTGAAAAATTTGTATCGGAAATGCATGAATTTGGACAGCAGAGGTTTTATGATAAATGTGTACTAAGGATAATTGGGTTTCCTACACAATAGACATGTTCACCATAAGCCGATACCGAAACCGAAACCGAAACCAAAAATAGTAGTGAGGTAAATGGTAAATGTTTATAATGTTTAATTAACCTAACCCTTTTACTTCATTATATTGTTTGAAATTTTAATACACTAGATAAAGTAATACTTCAATTCAATAATTTACATGAATCTATCAAAAAAGCAAAGTTTAATTCAACGAGTATTAAATACACTAATGCAAGTAATATACAATTAAGATGTGGATACAATAAAATTGAGAATGGAAATGGGAAATATGTCAAAGAGACAACAACCTGACCAAAGAGCAGATAACAGCCGAAGGCCACCAATGGGTCTTCAACGCAGCGAGAAACTCCCGCACCCGGAAGTGGTCCTCAGCTGGCCCCTAAATAAAATTGTGTACTGGTTCAGTGAAAATGGACGTCACACTTAACTCCAAAACATATAAAGAAACTAAAATTAAAAAAACATACAAGAATAACAAAGGCCAGAGGCTCCTGACTTGGGACAGGCGCAAAAATGCAGCGGGGTTAAACAGGTTTTGTGAGATCTCAACCCTCCCCTATACCGTTAGCCAATGTAGAATAAAGAAACACATAGCAATTCGCACAGTAAAACCCAGTTTAAAAGAAGTCCGATGTCAGAATAGGTAACAACAGAAACTAAGCAAAATGACAATGATACATAAATGAACAAAGGACTACTAGCAGTTACTGACATGCCAGCTCCAGACCTCAATTAAACTGATTGAAAGATTATGTCTTCGTCATATGAAAATCAGGTACAATCCCTCCTGTTAGGGGTTTAGTATCATACCATCATAAAATATATGAGAAGAACATAACCCGTATCATGCCAATAACTGGTTTTAGAATAAATGTGTTTATTTCCGATGCAAAAACCCTATGAGTGAATCAATATTAATACCAAAATATGTAATCCTTAATGATCTGACAACAGTATCGTAACTATATCCCTTCCGAATAAGTCTGTTTAAAGGTCTGGTTAGCTTTTGAGGTGAATGCCGTCATTTTTGTGCTTTATTTATTTATGATGTACATTAATCATGAAGCAAGTTTCGTCGAAGGGAAAGAACTGTACATAGTTCTACAATATGTGCAACATCGTTCCGACTATATATATAAAGAGAACCTTTAATTTACAAAAACCAAAACAAATTCTTATAAAGGCAAACATTTTTATATCAGTATAATTGTGTGACTACTGTTAATCTGTATCAGAAGAGGAGGATCCAAAAAGCTTGTGTGCTTTCGGCAAAATTACTTTCAATAGTTTGTTATACATTTTTATGTTTTCTCTCTCCATTTCCTTTTCTTTTCTTTTTCTGGAAGCACGTTTGATTGTCCCTCTTGATGTGCTAGATTGTATTTATGTTTCATCATCATCCTCCATCCCCTTTTCTTTTCTTTTTCTGGAAGCACTGTTGGTTGTCCCTTTTGAGGTGCCAGGTTTAGGAATAGATGACCTTTCTGGTTCATCTTCATCCTCAACTATTAGGCAAATTATTTCATAGTTTCAATTGTTATCAAGAAAATAAAAACTGACTTTAACACAGTCAGGGACATATGGACATATTATTTACTGTAGCCTTTTATATTTTTCAAGGTGTTGCTAATGAGCTAATTGTTTTTGAGTGTGTGTGTGTGTGTCCATTTATCAGGGACATCAGACTGCACTTGGTTATCTGGGGTTTTGGCAGTTTCTTTCTGCTTTTTTTCTCCTGTAGAATTCAGTGTTTTGTTACTGATCAATTGCTGCATCCCACATACAGCTGTCACTTCCATGCTTAAATAAAAAGAAGTGTATAGTTGTTATTCCGAACATGTAAGAATAGTTGTTATGTTGGTTTAAATATAGACAACAGTAGTAAACCGATTTTCAATAGGAATTTTACGATTAAGAGAATAAAATATCACTATCAAGGATACTAGAAGGCTCATATTTCGGTACGCCAGACGCTAGTTTCTGTTTTGTTTTATGTGGGTACTGTCGTGCCATTGAATGTATATGCTATAATGTGTGTTTTAAAATTGATATTTTTTTTTAAATTGCAAACATTTTTTGTATCATTTACTTTATCATTTCCAAAGCAGAAAAATGTAATACGATACCTTATTTCGTAATCCTGAATATTCTTCTTCTTGGCGAGCATAAGGAAAATTTGGTCTCTGACTCTTGATTTTAACTTGTTTTTAGGAGCTGTTGAGTAGAATTCAGCTGCTCTTGTACTAAGTTGAGATTTTTTTTTTCAATTATTTCATCCACAATCATGTTATAATCACCTAGATGAATCTGATAGCATCTCAAAATCATCAAAAGCTCAGTCCTCTCACACTTTACATTCTGCCGAGAACTTATCAAAATAATTAATTATGTGATAACTGAATATAAAATTAAATTACTATCTGTTTTATCAGAATTTATTAACAAAAATTATTTGAATACAGTAACGGAAATTAAAACATCTGCGATATTCATAGCCAGTTGCCCTTGGTTCAAAAATTAGGACATTTACTTGTGCCACGTACATTTTTGAGTTTAATACTCAATCGTTATATTTTTATTACTGGTGTGATTTTACAATTGCCACTGTATTTCCAGAATGAAAAAGAATAAACTAAACAAAAAAGAGATTAGCAAGATTGACATAGTAAAAATGAAATCATCAACATTACGAAAATATTAAGATTATTTTCAGTAAGAATTAATTAATAATTGATAATCAATTGACACATATAGACAAAAGTTACCTTTAGAAGCTAATGCTTTATCCTTCGAAGTCATTTTGAACGATTTGCTTCCGTTATTTAATTCGTGTTGAAATATAAATTCAACCTGGCGCACTCGATATAAAACTTTGTTGAAAGGTCTGCTTGACTGTTCATATCCAAACAAGGACTGTTTGATTCCGTAACAAGTGTCGGATATATTCCATTAAATGTTATTAAAGCTATATCGAAAATATCTAAAATGTGATATGCAGTAATGCTTATATTTATTTTATATAATATATTCGATTTTCAAAATAATATTGAGACAAAGAAAACAATATATATTGGTTTTATTTGGGTTTCAGAGGAAAAGAATGTTTTATTTGATGCTGTTAGCCCCACCAACGAGAAGAACAAAAACGCATTCCAAAAAGAAAATGAGAAAAGGTCTTACATTAATTTCGTTACTACCACAGGTTTTTTTTAAACAAAAAAACAATGCAAATGGAAATGCAGAGACTAATGATGTTATTTTCAATAGTTTCCCAATTTATTGGATGTAGAAAAGACTTTCGAGCCCGATTACTACCTGATGAAAGTTTATACCCATATCAAGGAAATGATATTTACCAGCAATGTATAAGACATGAATTCAACTTCTTCGGAATTACCGGTGAAACAGTAGATAGTTTTAATGAAGTATATTTGATACTCATGAGAGCGCTCAGCAGAATAAGACAGAGGAGTAAAGAAGCGGTACTTATAAGCTGGCGAAATAAACTTTTAATGGTTTTGATTTAGTTAAGATGTTACCCTACATTTGAACAAATGGCTTTGATGTTTGATGTTAGCAAAACTTTAGTTCATAAAGCTATCAATGAAATGTGGCCAATTCGTCATCAAGCTTTCAGATCAATGATAACATGGCCTTCAGCTGAAGAATGGGAATCTATGAAATGTGATTGGTCAGAATTGGAAGAAGCAGTTGGATCTATTGATGGCACCTCACATAGAATATATCGCCCAACTGAAAACCAGGCATTGTTTTAAAGTGGACATCGTCATATACACTGTATTCATACGCAAGGCATAATAGACACAGGAAAGAAAATAAGATACATCAAATCTGGTTTCCTAGGTCATAACAATGACGCGATACCTTACAGATTGATGGATGCGATCGGTCCACACGAGACATTACCGTTTCCTCGTGATTGTTACTTACTTGGCGATACCATATATCCATCTAAACATCCTATTGCAACACCATATACTGTAAGGCAGCTACGCAATCAAAATGCAATAATCCGCGATCAACGCAAATTTGTCAATAAAAAGATTCGTGCAAGAAGAGTTTATGTAGAACATTCCATAAGACGAATGAAAATTTATAAAATAATAGGTTCTCTTTATATCGGTATCGGCTTATGGTGAACATGTCAAGTAGTGGTATTTACTTGAAGAAAGAGAATTTGTGGTTGTCATTGTCAAACGGCACCTTACCACATATGCAACAATTACCAATTACCTCTTCGTTCCTCCTACCTTTCGGATTAAAATGCAATAAGTTCAAGCAAAACATTTTTTAGAGTTATAAAAGAAACAAAAAGTAAAATAACAAAAAACCCGAACTCCAAGGAAATATGGAAAGATAATCAAATCCCATTTTTAATAAATTTCAAGTTGCAATATCAGCGAAAATTACTTGTAAGGTATAAATTATCGTATCGAACATTTTACTTACACAACAATGGATTGGTTGGCCGCTACGCCACAGATAAACACATATAAACACAGATAAATTGTACTAACCGTAGCAACAATCTCGTTTGCGATGCAATACATTACGAGTTATTACAAGATATGTTTTATTACCTATGAACGAAACGATGAGCGCCTTTCAAAAGAATTGTGATCCATCCAGAGCACCTCAGGTCAATGGCTTTCGGTTGTTAATTAGAGGCCACAAAAACAGTGTTGTTAATACAAATTAAATCATATGGTTGAATCCCTCTATGCTTAGAATTTATTTGGGTCTTAATTTTGAAAATATCTGAACAAATATGTTAAATGATTTACTGAACAACCATAAACGTAAATATGATAAATATGCACAATAATTACGGAAAAGACTATATACATAATAGTGCAATGAAATCTTACCTGGTAATTTTGAGCCATCCTGCTCTCTCTGTTGCGCTCTTTGAAATTGATGTTCACATGTAGTATTTATAAGGTTAAACGAATTTTCAACCAAGCGGCATATGTCTCTATTAACCAATCGTTTGCTGTTAAAAAAATTACATCCTGTTATTAATTGATGAATTTCAATTTGTTTGTAGAAATGCATGTCTCAAGGCCAATATGGTCAGGCATAACGGTGTATTAGTTGTTCCGGTTAAAGGCGATATTTGTATATGAAATAATTATAAAAGTCGGAAGTAAATGACTGGAATATGTAAAGCATTTAATTTACCTTACCTTGATAAAAAGAACTTTAATAGTATACCTGTTATATAAAGTGTATGTGTACCATGTAAAAATAAGAATATGTGATATGATTGTCAATAGGACAACTATCATTCAGTGACGAAATGACGTTGATGTCAACAAGTTATGGTAACCATCAACGCTGGGCAAATTTAAATCCATTTAAACCCATAGTAAGCTAAATAAAGTTCCAACATGACAAAATATAAAAACAATTCACACGATAAAACCAACGGCATAATGTATGCACAAAACAATAAACCAATATCAAATATGACAGACAGCGACCAACGTCAACCACAAAATTACAACTTCATGAATTAGTTCGATTATCTGGACCATATATACTCATTACTTTGTGTGTTTTTTTGTAAGTCGGTTTCTGAGGAGTCGGTTGGTGGTGAGGAAGTGGTCTATATATTTGAAATAAAAAACCTATTCATAGAAAATGAGTTTATCAATTTGTTGTTAAAGTAAAAACCAAGACAAGTAAACGTGTATAAAAATCTCTTTCAGACGTTTGCACGAAATATCTTTGTCGGATAGATTAGTCTGTATCAATCGTGCCTCTGACTTGCTGAATCAGAGAATCAGGCTATTGTACTTTAAACATAAACAAATTGACTTTGCGTAGACTCCTGCCTCTATTTTTTTCCCAATGCCTTTAAATGATTTATGAATACACTCGTCAAAGATACTAGACTTAACATTTCTTGACGCCAGACTCGCGTTTCGACCACAAATACTAATCTGTAACGATCGAATTAAAAAAGTTAAAAAGGACAAATAAAGTAAGAAGTTTAAGAGCAATGATGATTCAAAATTTATAATTATGACCATATCAATGATAATGCATGTCAACACAGTAGTACTGGCTACTGGGCTAGTGCAAATGGCTTTTTAAGTTTCGTAGAAAACATACAATGCACATTTTTGAAAGAAACAAGAATATTAAAATTGGAAGCTTTAATTTTAAAGCTGTCGATTTCTACTCGTAGAATTTGTGTTACCGAATGTAATCTCATGTCGGTACGTAGTAAGTACGACATAAACGACAATAGTTCGACTTAGATAATACTTATGTAACTAATTATTTAAAGGTATAGACTCTTTTTTAAACTTTTAAAGTTTTTAAACTTATTTGGTTTTTATGCTCACAAATGAATTATGTAATGGCGTACTGTGTATCTGATGTCTAGCTTGCATTATACATGTTTCCCGGGGATCATGGTCAGGTAGATATGTTTTTAAAATAAAGGAATATATCTTGGATTATCATGACAGATCTCGTGTTATTCTCATTAGTACTACACACAAAAATTATTCATTAATATTTAAGCATTATAAATTGATCATTAATAACGAAAAGTTAAAAAGAGAACGTTCTACTTCAATATATTTCGTTCATATTCATTTGAAGATTGCAGAAAGACCTTATTCACACATTCTCTAGTTCAATTTTTTAAATTGTCAGATGAATGACCCGATACATATTAACCAACAATCAACTAAAGCGTTCACCATTGAAATTCGTCCACGTTCGTAAATTGTTTCAGTATAGAAAAAAGAGAGCAGAAATCTATAACTAGAAACACAGAAGGTAAAGTGTCCCGCTGGGATAATGTTTTTCGAGTGATATGATCGAGTAGTTTTGAGAATGACCACATTTTTGCGAATGAATATGATAAAAAATGAAAACAAACAGACGTCCTTTCTGGTAAGATATGAATACATGCTTGCACTTAATATACAAGATCATACAAGGTAAGTTAGTATTTGTGATAAAAACATATTATCAACCCTATATTATTTTGTGTTACACAAGTTTAATTCAGCCTTACAATGCTTTTATTCCAAAACATAGAATAAAGCCATTTTTGTACACACACTAATGCAAATGTGAAAGGAAATGAATATATGGAATCTATTTGTCCTTAATGTATACAGAAACTTTACAAAATTTGTTGGTATTGTATTGAGAAGGACATTTTGATAATAAATTAATTTTATATGTCAGGGTCTTTTTCGAGAGCAGTCGTGGTTTTTCGAGTGCGGTACAGGTTTTATCGAGTGCATTAACCAATTTCCATGGCTTGAAATGCTATATATGAGTGCATTAACGTTTAAAAAACAATAAGAAGGTTCAAATAAAGTACTCTCTCAAAGCACGAAACGAAAGCAATAAACCGGTGTGATAATGCTTTATTAACACATTCATTTAATAACAAAGAATCGTTTATTTGTATATATTTTATTTGCCACATCAAATAAATTTGCATGGACAGCGGTATACGTATATTTGGATACATCAAACATGACTGAGCCCTTGTGAAGACTGTTGACATTATGCACGTCCACTGTATTCAATCAGCACAGGTTAACGTATGTTTATATCGATCCAACATGTCCACCCACACCAATGAAAATATGTTGAAACGATCCTGAAGGTCGAACTCCAGGTAAACATGTTGTATTGATCAAAACATACGTAAAGTTGTAAAATTTTGGATTATCAAATTAGGTTTTGCATGCATATCAGGAGACGTTTTCCGCTTCACAACGAATCTTTTGTGTATTCTCTCTAAGTTTGGTTATTCGTATATGTTAATGATAGTTAAACTTCTGTTACTTCTGTTGCCTCTTTTGTAGGTTTCAAGCAGGTATATAGCTGCAACTTGGTATATATGTAGTTTTTTAGTAAATATACTGTTATTCATTTCAGTATGGTTGACTTTTTATTTCATATGGTAGGAGGAAGGATGAGGTACGGGCTATGCATGCCCGGTATTTTAAAACAAAATTTGTTTAATGCTGTTGTTGATGTATTTGACATGTTTAGGAGATTTTATCATGCACACATGAGGTGACATTAACAAACATACCTGATAACAAACCAAAGCTTATTAATTCTCAAAGTTTTAAAGGTTAAAACAAAATGCCTTTTAATGTATAGATGCAAATTATTGGCTGCTGGATTTCAATAATTGTCACATTAACCCATTATATCTGTTTGGGTTGCTCACCCAAGTTTGTTAATATAACAGAATCATTAACAACTGTCAAACAAGTGGGGGGTTAAACTAGCTATAAAACCAGGTTTAAATCACCATTTCTGCGGGAAATGCCTGCGACAAATCCGGAATATGACAGTTGTTTTCTATTCGTTCCGTTGATTGATGAAGTCTAATATTTGATTTTGTCAATTTTTTTGGCCTTTCCTTTTTGAATTTTCCTAGGAGTTCCTTATTTTTGTTAATACTTTTTTTATTATACGATCTTCGTATGGGGTTTTCAAACATCGTGTGTATATTTGAAATAAAAAAACTTATCGTTTTACTTTTGAACCTTTTTGAAATGACAATTCTTAAAACATAGCATATACAATAAAGAAAAAGGATAACGTCGGAGCTCGATTTATCACTATTTACAGTTGTATTCATTTAGCAAGCATAAAACTAATTAGTACTCCCATGTAAAATAATTTGGAAATTTCATGAAATAATAAACCAACCCCCAAACTATTTTTTATGGCAGTTAAAACGGCATTTATATTTGGCAGGGGGTATTTCAGCTTGACGAGACCTATCTTGCGCTTTTTAAGAGATTTAAACGTATATGAAAGGACTTATCAACTGCTCATACACAATGCCCATTTTGAAAGTAAGGAGATGTTATTACTTGTCAATATTATTCATAAATACCAATTGACATATTATACTATTGTCTTTATGTGATAATTAGAAATCGAAACTTGTTAATCATAGTTTACCAAAAGTATTAGTCAAATAACATCTGTAAGATAAACAGAATTATAAAAAGTATGTTTATCAACAACAGAAATATTACTCAAAATGTAAGTAAGATTAAATTAGAATTTCAAAAAATATTAATATATATATGAAAGCAAAACAAAAATTTAGATAAAACCCCAACAAAATTGATTATTGAAAATTACAAAATTATATTATGATATATATTTTTCAGACATTCTGTTTGACAGTAGATTGTAATTTGCCAGAAGTAAATGTTCACTGTTACAATTGCGTCATATTTGATGAATTTATCATAGAAGACTGAACTGTTCAAAAACTAAAAAAATCGTTGTACGGAACACCTCCAAAGTGAATAATAATTACAATATCTGAATAATGACGGAAAGTTTACCTCCCTCACCTCACCCAGTTGCTGAAATTAATGGTTTTGAAGTTCATCCAAACAAACTTCAAACATCAGGGAATATTTTAACATGATAAGTAGCTTTCCAAAACAAAATTTGAAAATTAAGAAAATAGGGGGGCCAAAACGGGGGCTTATCGTACCTTGTCCTTTCACTTGTTTCGAATTTATTCAGATTGAGTTTGCAATTACATTTGTCATATATGTACAGTTCATTATTTGTTCGTACATTAGCTGTTATTGAACAGGTTTCAGATGATATATTGACCCATTCTTTCGTATATATTTTTTATTTAAGAATTCAGCAATACAATATGTGGTTTTATTTCTTTAGCTTTTGTCTTATAAAAGTAAAAATATCCCCATTTTCATCAATGATATGTGATAGTTACATATGTTAATTATACAGCTATTTATACAGTTATGAAATGATATTGTTTTTTCCTGAACTTTAATCAACTGATATCGCAAAGTATTTGTTGGCGGCTTAGTTTGTAGTTATTTGGGAGTTTTTTAAAGTATAATTCGTAATCCAAACTTTGATAATATCAAGAAAAA